TGGCATGTTCAACCAGTAATATTGTGGTTCAGAAAATGAGACGTTAAAGTATAATGCTTCGTTATGCTTGTACTATGAAGTGAAAGGGATGGCAAAAAATCTCTTAATCATAATAGCAATAAGATGCCATAAATACATAAATATTAATTTAAAATACAATCAGCTAATGTAAATTCCAAAGTCATGATACCTTGAGACAAAAATGTAAAAAATGAAAATAATGTATCATGACTTATAGATCAGCAGAATATTCTTAAATATGTTTGCTTTTTACCAAGGTCAAATTCAATACACTTGTTATCAGACAAGGAATCCTGGAGGTCCTTTGTCCCATAGGAGAAAAATTCAAGGGGACATAGAGAAAAAATGTAGGGAGAGCAGGTTTATGACAATAAAGCAAAAGTAAATTCTCAAAGATTGGAGAGTTTCTGACCCTGGAAAATCTGACAGCGAGGGTTATGGCAGAAGGGTGGGTGGAGAGTTCATTCAAACACAAAGTTAATCATAATTTACTTATGTAAAAGATAGCTCGTCGGTAGTCATTGCTTCCTGAGTTGTTCCCTTGAGGTCTAGGAGACATTTTACATGTAGCCATTATAAAGATATCACAGTGGGAATCTCCTTTGGGAAGCCCGAACCTACATCTTGGGTTATGTATTCTCCTTTCCTAAGCATCCCTATCTCTGCATCCTCATACTTACAATTACATGTGTACTGCCTGAGGTTTGGTGGAGAGTGGAGTCATGGATGAAGAAGGGGGATCCAAATTTGATTTAAAACTATTGCATGAAATGTACAAAATCTCAATAAAATTTTTTTAATTTAATGTACTCTCCCCATCTTAACCTTACTAATTCTTACTCTAACTCATTCTGAAATTCTTTTCTACAGCAAAGTCAAGAACCTGTCTTAACATGATTAGCGATCTCTTAGGAGAAAGTACACTCAGATTGCTAGCAGCTATAATGGGCCGTCTCTCCCTACCCCCGCTGACATCATTGTTACCTCATGATGGGAGTCTTCTGAAGCAGTATTGCAGCATTATCTTGACCTCATCTTGACTGCTTAGCCTTACTCTGCTGACTGGCTACTCTCACTTCTGTACTCCAACTTTTCAGGCCAGAGATTCACACCTACTGTTAAATGCAGCCCTAAGACATTGGAGATAGAGTTCTATAGCAGTTTCTGTGCATGATACCTGTTTGAAGTGGGATGATACACAGTGTTCTCAGAGGGGGATCACATAAGAGATGATCCCTAAGATGTTCTAAGCCACTCACTTGCCTTTGAGAACTGCAGGAGAGATACTCCATGGTCAGCTGCCTCTGACCCACGGGTGCCTCTAACACCCAGAGAAGCTAATCCCTTTAATCACAGCATTTTAAGTTCCAAAGTATGTTCACCTGTGTTCACTTCTGTGTTGGCGATAAAGGAACCTATAGAGGTTCCCAAACATTCTTAGGTCTAACAGGACTATATATATATACCTAAGAGGACATTACCATAAAGGATGATCTCTCAGATGTCCTAATTTTCTCCTTTG